CTGAACAGGAAGTAGTTTGAGGAAACTACCAATGCCCATATATGGGCAGCACCGGCCTATTTTACAAGACTCTTTTACTAGTTTCTTTCTTTGAGCAAACTGATAACTTGCTAGTTTTTGTGAATCTGTGAATAATTTTAGCATTCAAACAAGTTAATTAATTTCCAAAACAAAACCGACCTCTTTAATATATTCATATTTAATATATTTGAGCCACTTATCAGTAAATGTTTTAAAGCTGTGATTACCAAATTTAGTCACCCGAGGCTGTGATTTTAATGCCGAGTTACCCAATTCAAGTTGTTTTCTGACTATTATTGCTAGAATTTAGGATTTGTGATTTAGGAAAATTCTCCATTTTGATTCGTTTTAGTTTAAATATACGTTTTGATGAGAATGGACGGAGTGGCTGATGGACTGACCGCTCCGGAGGGGTCATCAGGACGTTTAAGAACAGCGTTCCCACGGTGGCTTTCTGCATTTGTGCGCTCACAAAACCCCGGAGGGTCTTCATGCTAACGAGCGTTAGCTGTCGGATCCGGTTGGTTAAGATGGAAAAGCCATTTAACTAAAAAAAAAAAAAACAATAATTTGAAGAAAAATCCATTCTCCTCAGAGCTGCTGAGGCCAAACAGAAAGACCTCAGTGACCAAAAGGGAGTGTTAGAATTTGGCTATAATTACTCACTTTAGCATTGTATGCCATCATATAATCTGTGTAAATTACTGATTGTTTTATTTCCTTATAGAACTATATTTTGTGTTAAAGTCTCTGGCTGTAACCAAAGACTCTCTTTTCTCTCTTTTTCTCTCTCTGTTGCATTAGATCCACCTTTAGTTCAACACAAACACACACACACCATTTGTTACCACATTCCTGTCATCTGCATGAATTAGGACCTGGCCTGTTCCTGCCCAGAGGTAACTAGCCAATAGGACTTTTAGGACCTGGCCTGTTTATGCCCAGAGGTAACTAGCCAATAGGACTTTTAGGACCTGGCCTGTTCCTGCCCAGAGGTAACTGGCCAATAGGACTTGGTTGTGTCCAGTCCTCCTTTGAGGAGGCGGATCGAGCCCAGGAGATAATGCCCATC